TGAAGATATATTGAAAAAATCTGCATATCAATTGTACTGAAGCGATCATTTAGTTTGGTAAATTATTATTATTTTTATTGAAATTTTACCGATTCAATACGGATCGAAAATATTAGTTAAAGGACTAAGTGAGAATATCTCTTACCAATGGAAACCCGTACAGAATCGGACTTTAAATTTAATGCATTATTTTATTATTTAGCCATTATCAACATGTAAGTGGCTGAAAAAAGGAACTGTTGCTAGTATTCATAGGGTGAGTGAAGTCACCTCGGGTTGGAACTTTAAATCTAATTTCTTCGATTTCTTACTTAGATAAATAGAACTATTAGTTTTTTAAAAAAAAATTTAAAAATCCTTGATTAGGATAATTTCGAATATTTGTTGAGGAACTTATTTTATGTGAAATAGTAATTACTTGATTAATAGGTCCCGTTAAAGGGTTTAATGATCGATTAACTAAAGAGAAATGAGTCTATCGAAAGTTTGATGCGGTTAACGAAAGAGCTCTCCAACCCGTGCCCATGGTTAACACGGGAGCGGATCCGCTGTCCCCAAATTGGTGTCCCCTCCATGTCCCCTCTCTAATTTGCTGACACGTCTCAACTAACATAACGGGAAGTTAACTCCGTTAACTTTTTTATTTGACAATTTTAAAAATTAAAAAAATTAAAAACTGCCCAAATAACCCAGCAGCCAGCAAGCGTCCTTCCTTGCTAAACCCAGCAAGCGTTCTTCCTTGCTAAACCCAGCAAGCATCCTCTTCCTTGGGGTCTTTCATGTGTTTGGCTATCTTTGAAGAATTTGTGAATTAAATGGTTAATTGGAGTTGAATCTACTGCTGTTATGACATAGAGATTTAGTTATTTGGAGTTTAACGATATTCACGAGGTGATGGTTTTGCTCTGTCACCAACAACCTTCAAGAGGCAGAGGAGAGGACCCATCACCTTGGATGGTTTTGCTCATGCTCTTCCACAGCTTCCCATACCAACAAGCTTTGATGCCGTCAAAAGCACCAGTTTAATGACTCTGTAACATGCATATGCTCAGGCACAAACTCAGTAACACAATACTTATCATTTAGCCGACAACTAATTTTCATCCTTGCTAGACATCCAAATCTTGTCTCAGCACGATGAGATTTCACACTGCCATCACACTTATTCTTTTCACGCTTACCTTCAGCAGAGCAAACAAAAAGTCTGTCTCTCAACTTCCCACATTTCTCTTTATGAAATTTACTTCGTCTAATACTAAAACCAACACCATATGCATATGCATTGTAAATGTTAAAGGCTTCTTCTTCTGTCTCAAACTCCATGCCTATTTCAGGAACTAGTTTTTTCTGCATGTTAGAATGGATCAACTCTATGTTTTTGTTACCTTGTGTAGTTTTTGAAAACTTTTCTTCATTACTTTCACTGCCTGCAAAAGCATTGAAGTCCCCACCTGTTTCAAAAATTAGCTTCAGACTTGCTTGAGTTCCATCATCATCTCTGTAATTATTTTCCCCGTTCATGTCCTTGAGAAAATTGGCAACACGTTATGAATCTATATATAAAACAATAATCATAAAATAACAATTAATTTAATCAAGACAGGGATTGATTATTATATATGACTGGGTTTGATTCCTATGAAATCAAAAGGTTGATTCCTATGAATATATGGCTGGGATTGTTCAAAAGATTGATTACTATGAATATGAAATCAAACATATCATCAAACATATCGTGAAGATAAAACCTAACAAAGAAAATTGAATAAATAATACTTTGATTTAGTGTATATTATATAAGTTTCCAATACACAGAGCTTTGCTCACCTCCATCCACGGGGCTTCAACAAAAGGTATAATCGATTGGTTTAATGGTGCTGCAATTTCCAAACAGAGATTAGGAGGGAGGAGAATTGAGTTTTGCAAGTATTTGAGAGTTGATTGTGGAGAAGATGTAGTGATTATGAGGGAGGAGAGTGGGTATGGCTGGTTTTTGCAAGGAAGACGACGCTTGTTGGTTGCAATTGGAGAAGAGGAGAAGACTCTCGCGGAGAAGACGATGCTTGCTGGGTTTAGCAAGGAAGACGTTCGCTGGGTTTAGCAAGGAAGGACGCTCGCTGGCTGCTGGGTTATTTGGGCAGTTTTTAATTTTTTTAATTTTTAAAATTGTCAAATAAAAAAGTTAACGGAGTTAACTTCCCGTTATGTTAGTTGACACGTGTCAGCAAATTAGAGAGGGGACATGGAGGGGACACCAATTTGGGGACAGCGGATCCGCTCCCTACCATCAGCGCCTCCCGAATAGCTAGGGCCTCTGCCATCAATGCCGACTAGCACCATAAATTTCACATTCCACCAGCTCATACTAGCAAACAAAACTCATCACGCAGTCCCCAGCCCACTCGGCCTTTTTGTCTAGTTGTCATCAAATAATATTGGAAATATTTGTTAATCTGTGTTTCTTTTTCTTTTTCTTTTTCCATTTTGTTCCCCCTTTTCTACCCTTTTGCAATCTGCCACAATTTCCCTTGATTCATGTGCGTTTATTCTCATATTTGAGTGTTATAGCTATAATTTAGTTGATGACATCTTCGCCATGGTTCGTAAGGCTTTTCATAAATTTTATGTCCCTGAGCAACTCAATGCTACTCTAATCACTCTGATCCCTAAGGTTGAGAACACCCCAAACCCCCCCTTCAACTCCATGGTGCAGTTCAGACCCATTAGTCTTTGTTGCACTCTTTATGAGGTAATTTCTAAATTACTGGTTGCTTGATTCATGCTTATTTTGCCTAAAATCATTAGTCCTAATTAGGTTAGTTTCATTTCTGGAAGACAAATCACTGATAACATCCTCATTGCTCAGGAATTTATGCATAAGTTCAAATGTTCTAAGGGTAAGAAGGGCTTCATTGCCTGAAAAATTGATCTATCTAAAGCCTATGATAGATTAAATTTGAAGTTTATTGAAAAGGTCCTTGGTGAAATCGGCATGCCCATTAACTTCATTCAGCTGGTTTTGAGTTGTGTTTCTTCTGTCAAATATCAAGTTTGTGTTAACAGCGAGTTCTCTCAACCTTTTATTCCAAAGAATGGTATTAGACAAAGAGATCCCCTATCTCCCTACCTCTTTGTGGTTTGCATTGAAAAGCTATCTCATATCATATTTGATGTTATCAATAGGGGAAATGGAAACCTGTTAAGTCCTCCCAAACTGGTCATGTTGTATCGCATTTGTTTTTTGCTGATGGCTTAATCTTTCCACTGAAGCTAGTACGCAACAAGCTATGGTGATGAAAGGGTGCTTGGATTTATTTTGTCAAGCCTTTAGTCAAACTGTCAACATTGACAAGTCTTCTTTATTTTGTTCTCCTAATACCAGCAGGGCGTTAGCTTAATATATTAGTTTCATTTGTGGCTCCCCTTCAACATACAACCTAGGAAAATACTTGGGGATGCCTATCTTGCACTATAGGGTAACTCGATCCACTTACAGCAGTTTGCTTAGTAAGGTTCACTGCAGGCTTGCCAATTGAAAAGTAAGTTGCTTTCTTTAGCTGGGAAGGCCACTTTAATCCATGTTGTCACATCTACTATTCCCATATATTCTATGCAGACCACAAAATTACCTGTTAGTATTTGTGAAGATTTGGATGGGTTAAATAGAAAATTCTTCTGGGGAGGAAGTGATAGGAAGAAGAAAGTCTACCTCTACCAATGGAATCTATTGTGTAGACCTAAAAACAAAGGTGGTTTGGGTTTCAAGAAGGCTCAGGCTTTGTTGGCTAAAATCGGTTGGAGGATGCACAACAAAGATAATGGCTTATGGGCTCAGATTTTTGAAAAGAAATATCTCGAAGGTTACTCTATTATTGATCCTAATCTGAAAACAAGACATTTGTGCTCCTCAACTTGGAACAATATTCTTTTTGGAGCTGAACTGCTTGCAAAGGGAATGACTTGGAGGGTTGGAAAATGTGATTTGGCCAAATTTTGGACAGATAAATGGTTATTTGATACACCTCTAATGCAACATAATGGGGTGTTGAATATCCATGAATTGAATTGTAGCGTTGACAGATTTTTTAGGAATGGTTGGTGGAATTGGACCAGCTGAGGAATGCTCTTACTGAAGATTTTGTTCAAAATCATTGTTGTTCATGTTGGATTTGGGAACTCTGTACATGATGCTCAAATATGGGGTTTGTCTTCAAATGGCTTATTCTCTATTAAATATGCATACTCTATTTTTTATTATAGAGAATTGGGAGATGTTGATCCCTTTTGGAAGGACTATGTAGAATGAAAATCCCTCCCAACATTCATATCTTCATTTGGCTGGCTTATCAAGGTAAAATCTTGTCCAATGGGCAAAGAACCAAGATGAATCTAACTTCTTGTCCTTCTTGTCTTCTTTGTGGTTGGCAAACGGAATATGTTATTCATATTCTTAAGGACTGTCCCAGGGCTATGATGGTATGGAATTCTGTTTTAAATTTACATTCTTCGCCTCACTTATTCCTATATGAGCTTACCTTGGTTCTTAGGCAATCTACTTTCTAAGGTTAAAGGCCCTGATGGTATTGGTTGGAATATTATTTTTACTATTACTTATTTGTATATCTGGAATTGGCGTAACAAGCAGATTTTTAACGTTGAAGTGGTTTTGCCTTTTAGTCCTAGGAAAACCATCTTTACTGTGGTTGTTGAGTGGGTTAAAGCCGCTAATGGCTTTGGCAAGAAACCTGATAGAGTACATGTTTTTTTGGCTTGGGAACCTCCTACAATTGGCCAACTTAAGTTGAATGTGGATGGTTCTATAAGGGCTGCCACTAATATTATTGGAGCATGTGACACGTGTCAGCAAATTAGAGAGGGGACATGGAAGGGACACCAATTTGGAGACAGCGGATCCGCTCCCGGTTAACACAGGGGTGGATACAAAACGGGTCAAGTTATATTAAAATGGGCTAAGATCAATTTTTAATCTTAGCCGTTCACTCCATCCGACAGTGAAGCTTTCTTCTCCGTCCTAGGTTGTTCGCTCTGAGACGAAAGTGCTTCATCTCTAAACCCTGTCTAAACCTTCAGCTCCCATTCGCTGATTTTCAATCTGCTCTCTTTCTTCTGGTGAGCTTCCTCCTTCTCTCCGCTATATCCTTTCTCTTTTCTGTTGGCAGGTTGTGATTTTGATTTGGCGTTTTTAGTATTAAGTTTGGTCTCAAGGTGTTTTTGTTGTTGTTGCTGGAGTTGAGATTGGGTAATAGGAATTTTGTTTTATTCCAATTACTTGCGGGAAGAAAATACATACATGGGTCCTTATGTCTTTCATTCAGCTCAACATTGTAGAGATTTAAATTATCTTTCCAAAAGCTTAACTTAGTTTTAAGTTTAACCATCACAAAGGGCATTGCGAGTCGTCAACTTATTGCAATTTGAAACTAGGTTTTACAAGAACATTGTTTGATGAATGATATGGGAACAATGCTAAGTTGTGACCACATTGATTTATAACAATCACACTTGCACCTAAGCTTAGTGGAGACCCCTGATGAGTCCTGTTTAGCGAGGATGAATGGTGAAGGGGAATTGAGGATTTATTTTTTCTTCTTTCCAGGATTTAAAGGACTGGAGTTCTGAGTATTCCTTTATATTTTCCTTTTGGTGTTAAGTGATATTAATGTATCTCTTTTTCTCTATAAAGGTTTTTTCCTTTTCACATTTTGTCATATATAATTTGGGTATTGGCTTCTTGTTAGATGTGTGTTTGTATCCATCTTCTAATAATGGAATCAATTCTTTATTGTGCAATGGGTACTGCTCATGGCGGCCGATTTATTTTTCAGCTATTGTTACTGCTTATGGGGTTTTTGCTGCTTGTTTTTGTTGTTTGATTTTTGCTGCTTCTCTCTGTTTTAAAGTGCATTGTACCGTGCTTTTCGATATTTGTCCTCTTGCATTTGTATTCTACTGATTTTCCACATTTTCAATTGTTTGGTTTTCGTTCTGTTTGTCTTTAATATGTTTAAGCTTGCTTCTATATTTTGTAAGATGAATTCTGTAGAAGAGAATCCTTGATACCTTTTTTATGCTTAGAAGTTTGATTTGTAGTCTCATACTTCTAGTTAGCTAAGACACAGATTGTGCCGTCCATGGGTCCTTGTCTTCCTTAATAGACGAAGTTTTAACTATACACCGGAGATTATAATGACTACTAAATGGCCTAAGGCTCCTTATATTTGTCACCAAAGTGGTAGTTGTATCTCTGAGGTTTCCACAACGTCTGGGATTTATCCTCAACCTGTTGGGGCAGTCAATACAAAATCATTTAAACCAAAACTTTTCCTTAATATCCCATTTCTCTATTCACTTATCCACTCCCAAATTTATATAAGCCTCTGTCTGGGATTTTTTAATTTCTCTTATTCAAATGTTTTGAGTTGTAACTTGTCTCATTTTTAAAATTATTTTTGTTTTCTAAAAATATTTTTATTTCATCTTATTTATCTCTCCCTCATTTTGATTTAAGATTTCATTGGGTGCACTGAAAAAAGGTAATTGGGTTCTAAGTTTCATTTTTAAGGAACGGGAATATGGTCATATAATTTAAAGGATGATTTAGACTCTAGTTTAGTAAGTTTGCTCTGATTTCATTTTAAAAATTTGCACGTTAATTTGGAAATTAGTGCGTGTGTTTTGTCCCAATTCATTTTAAGAAGTCTATGGTGCACTGTATAGTGCTGGTGATTTATTTTGGTATAATTTTAATGCTCATCATAATCTAGATTAGAATTGAGTTTCTCAAGTGTTTTATATGCATTGAATTGAATTTTTCAAAAGGTATACCACTTTGCTTCCTATAAAAAACGCCAAGTAGTCAGTCTGGTTTTCCAAAAAGTCAAAAATTGGTTCAGTTGTCACTTAAAAACTATTATAGCATTAAGCATTATAGATTAGATTTTAAAACAGAAAATAGGATCATTACCTGTGTAACTAATTGATTAGTTACCCATGTACTGATTCACAGTTAATGCGTTGGGATTATTTCCACTATGTTGTGCATGCCTCTTTTGTATGTGTACTTCGTTCATGGGATAATTTGACTTGACATTTGCTCTCTGGCTTCCTTTAGCACAATCTTTCTAATCCTCATGCACGAGTTAATTCTAAAATGTCATTGATATATTTCTCTGAAGTTTGACATTTTAAAACAGAACACAAAGAGACAATACTTTAACACACATGCAATGCTTTATTATCACATTCTTGTCCAAACTCAAGTTGGTTGTTCAATTTTGCGTCATGATTTTCTTGTCCCAATGGGCTTTAGCCCATGCTCAGCCTTATGGGTTGTATTATGTTCTAATCTGAATGTGAACATGTCAAATATTAATTGTCTTATATGTTTTGTATTATGTTACACCCAACACAGTTGATCATGTTGGCGGAACAATATGAAATATGAATTTAAAGATAATAATAATTCTCAGCAAAATTGTAATAATCAAATACAATAACAAATTTACATGAAATTAATGTAAATCAACAAACACAAGTAGAAATACTAACAACTTTAGCGATTGAGGCTTGCAAGAATTGCAATGTCCTAAAGACAGATTTCGCCCCTGCCCTTGTGCTCGCAGTTCTATAGGCGTCCGTCTCCCAGGATTCAACAATCGATAATCCTAAATTGAAGCACTTCAATTTAAGACTCTGGCGAACCAATTATATATTTATACTCTCAAAACACTTAGGAAGGAAACTTGAAGATTGATACTCTAACATATCATGGGTGGGGAAAAACTCCTATATCGTGAAGAAGAAGGTAATGGGTTTATATAGAACCCATCAGGTATTCATCAATAGACACAACTTTTGATAGCAAAACGGACTCTTGTATATTTAATCATTCAAAGTTTTTTTCTTTCTCCGCAAGTCATCTTCCTCTCTGCACCACCTCTGGGTTTTGGGTTTAGGGTAAGCTCTAAAACTTAATTATAATATATCTATGTTAGTTTCTCAGTCTCTCTCATGGTCTCACCCTCTGTCTCTGTATCTTATTCATTCTTGTGTATGTGTGTAGCTAAGCGAGCCCTACAACCCACTTCGTTTTTGTTTTCTCAAAATTTGTAGGGTTTTGATTTTTTTGTTTTTGTTTCAGTTTCTCTTTTTTTACTATGTCAAAACCATGACCTTGCTCAGTATGGCAAGTTATATTGGACTAATTCATTGATTTGGCTTTCGAATTTTTTGTGAACTCAGGGATTTTCTCTTAATTGAAATTTTTTACTCTCTAATTATGATTTTGAGAGTTAGGACTTTCTGCTTCAATTTTGATTTCTGTTTGAGCATTGCAACTGGGTTGATTTGCGCTTGCTGATGTACACCACTGTAACCGGGTTTGTTTCTGTTTGCAATTTGGGTGTGTCATTGGTGGTTTGTTCTTTCTATGGTGTCATAATTATGGGGTTTTGGATTTCTTTTAAAGTTCCATTTAGCAAACCAGAAGCACATCCCAATCCACTGCTGATACTAAATAGTATTTGAGCCTTTTGCTTAGATCTCTCAGAGTTCCATTAGTGTTGGCTTATTCTGAAACGACTTAAGCGTTTTGAGTTTTGTTAGTAGTTGGACTTTAACATGGTATCAAAGCTTTTGGATTTCAGTTGTTTTCTAAGAATTAGTTGTATAGATGTTCTTCAATTAGTTCAGTTATCTTTTGTTTATTGTATCATGATCACAGCTAACTTGCAGTTATATTTTATTTTTCTGAGAATACCAAGACCAACTTATTGCAACATTGGGCAGGGCCAATCATTTATATGAAAATCTCCCCTTTTACGCTTATTTGAGTTCACTTGAGTTGTTATTTTAATGCATATTGATCATAAAAGGGGAGAATTTCATGGTTACAATATGAGATAAGCTCTTATTGTATTTACTATGTCTTGTTATGCTGCCAGTCTTCGTTGGGTAATGATTCTGGAGCTATTTATCTTTCTTGCAACTTCTACATTTGTTTGTCAAACCAATGTAACTCAACTATTTCATACTTTCAAAGAGTATATATCATGCCTGATTAAATTTCTCCCAAATGATTATGAATACATTTGTCTGAACTGTTCTGTCACTGTTCTCTGGTGAAGCCATGCTCCAGTGGTCCTCTGCATCTTGACAAATGTATAAATATTAATTAATGGTGCTTTGCCCAGGGAGTATCAGCAACACTAGAGGAGCAAGCGCGGACTCAGAAAACTGTGTCCTAAAGGCCTCCTCAAGTCCTGGACAAAGATGAGACCTTTAGATGAGACTGAGACCACAGCAGTTTTCGAAAAGCTTTTCAAGTTCACAGGCAACAACCTCAAAAACATCATCGAGAACCCTTCGCACGAAGGTCCAGACCCAGATTCAGGCCGTTACTGCTTCCGCCTCCACAAAAACAAGGTCTACTATGTTAGCGAATCACTAGTAAAGCGTGCTACAAATATATCTCGGACTCAGTTAGTGTCTCTCGGGACTTGTATTGGTAGGTTCACTCACGGTGGCAGTTTCCACTTAACTGTTCAGTGTTTGAGTTCATTAGCCTCAAATGCTAAACACAAGGTCTGGCTCAAACCTACCTCCGAGATGTCCTTCTTATACGGAAACCATGTTTTGAAAGGTGGTTTGGGGAGGATTACAGAAAATATTGTGCCCGGTGATGGGGTGGTTGTGTTTTCAATGTCAGATGTCCCGTTGGGTTTTGGGATTGCGGCCAAGTCTACCCAGGATTGTAGGAAGTTGGACCCCAATGGAATTGTGGTACTTCACCAGACAGATATTGGAGAGTACTTGAGGATGGAGGATGAGCTTTGAATAACTAGAGGACATTGGACGAGATTCAGGTGGTTTTGACAGATGTAGTGTCTTATTGGGTATGTCGGTTATGAAGTCCATCTGTCAGCTTTTGATCACTATGAGCTTAAGTCTTTTGGGATGTGGACGGCTTTCTCGAATATTATTTCCATTGGTGCTTGGGACTTTCTGCTATCAACTCTTTGATTATGAGGAACTTCTTCCATCTGGTGTTTAGATGGTTTTGTTTACTTTACTTGTCGCAGTACGTGTGACGATTTTGGTTGTCTCAAGAGTACATATCATTTTGGTGTTGATTCTTGTTTATGTTCTAAATGTCATTAGCATAAATGTAACTGAACCAAATGGTTGTTAGCCGCGTACATGGTGTGGAAATAGATGTTAACCTCACACTTGTAGAAGGATGTTAGCCGCGTACGTGTTTATATAGCTTGGCTTGAATGGGTAGCCAGCCATAAGCTTTGTTGGTGACCAAAGGCCCTTGTTATGTGGTGATTAGATTTATATTAGGTCACTTTGAGAAAATGTTGAGAATTCATATGTGCTTTTAAGTTGATCAATTGTTATGCTCGTGAATTATTGTTTCGAAAGAAGTTGCACATATAGGGTTTCGAAAGACTAGCTCAATCAAAAGTTGCACATACGATATTGGGAATCTCATTAAATGGATATATCATCCTTTTGTGCGTATGCTTTTTGGGTATGACCATCTTCAAATTTAAAATATTAAATCAACACACATCATCTTTGCAAGGGACTAATAGTTCAAGTGGTTAAGAACTGTTACCCTTATATCTGAGGTCTCGAATCCCCTCTCTCCCAATATCGCTTGTCTCCAAACACATATCATCTTTAATGAATTTAATTTTTTATTTTTTTTATTTTATGAAATGCTTAAACTTCTCTCTAAGGACTAAAGTTGCAAAAGTATATGTAAGCAGGTAATAAAAATAATAATTTAGACATTTTATTTCCAATCCTTTTTATGTTGATCAAAGCATTAGATTTACATATTTTACCCAGCTCTTTCGTTTCATTCACTCATTAGATTTACATCTGAAGCATAATCAGCCGACCATATTGGCAACATAGTGAATATGTAAGCCGACCATAGGCGGTCGTCAATTTTGTCTCTAATTCGAGGCTTTGGATGAATTTTTCAACTTAAACTACTATAAATAGACCCTATGCGTACCTCAATCTCATCATGCTATACCCACTGAGAGCTAATAATAAAAGGCTTGTTAAAACAGACAGATATATTATCAAAGTTTCCAATGGCATGGAATAAAATTGTCACCCTTATCACCATCCTTGTGGTTCTTCTTCCTACGATCGCCATGGCGAAAGAATTCGTCGTCGGAGATGACAGCGGCTGGAAAACTAATTTTGACTACGAAGCTTGGGCCAAAGACAAAGTATTTCGTGTTGGTGATACACTAGGTATGTACATTTGCAAATTGTATGCAGTTAATTATATGAGAACCAAATTAACTTAATGTGACTGGTTTTACATTTTAATTACAGTGTTCAATTACAAGGCTCCTAATCACAACGTGTTCAAGGTGAACGGAACTGGGTTCAAGGAATGCATTAAGCCAACAGAAAACGAAGCTCCACTTTCCAGTGGAAATGACAAAATAGACCTAAAGATCTCTGGAAATAAATGGTACATTTGTTCTGTTAAAGATCATTGTGAGTTGGGCATGAAGCTCTTCATTACCGTCTCCGATGAGTCGTCTGCTGTTCGTGGCATCACATTATCTGGTTCATATCAAGCTTTCATGGCCGTCATCATGGCAATCACAGCAATTGCAGCGTTATCCACATAATACAATCAATAATTAATTAAACACCCATATTTTATAGAGATGTGCGTTACTTCAGTCCGCTTGCATCCGAGTTCAATTTACATTAGAGTAATTTACAATATTACTTTGCAAAAACCAAAAAAGAACACCGTACATTTTATGGTTTCTGAATTTTACGTTCAATAACTAGAATTGCGTTGTGGGGCACTTGAAGTTTTTGTTCTACGACCGTTTTATCATGTAAGATGCTTTTATTGATTGAATTTCAAAGACAATTAGGTCTGTTTGTTTGTTAGATTCACCATGTGTCTATTCTAAGCGTATAATTGAAGTCTCCAATATTAAATGATTTAAGGAAAATAACAGTGAAGTACTTGAGTTTTTAGCTAAGGCTTGGGACATTTTGGAAAAAGCAAAAGGAGAGAGAAAAATTTTAAAAGAAGCAAAAATGGACAAAAATGCCCTTATTTATTTTTAGATTTCCTAAGGAATCCAATACATTTGCATGTCTTTGATTTGAAAGTTGAGTGGTTTTTTTGTCTTTTTTAAAAAAGCTTTGGCTTTTTCCAAAAGTGAAATTTTTTTTATGTCTAAAACCTAAAAATCCTAACAAGTAAAGATATATATTATTTATGTAAAATGCACGATAGCTAAATGTAAAGCAAGTATGCAAGCTACATCGATCTTGTTGGTTTTGCAAGCTATGGCTTTTAAGCAAGTTTGTGTTGAAACTTGTAGTTCCGCATTGATGAAAGATTATAAAACATTTCTAATCTTTATAACCCTAGGTCATCCAAGTAGATTAGTTTTGATTGGGCCACTTGGTGGCCCTAGTTTGCACTTGTGGGCTTGACCTTGGGTTGACTTGAAAGAATGATTAATATATATATATATATAGTGTAATTAATTAATTAACTAAAAATTTGAATTATTTTGAAATTCAAATTTAAAATTTATCAAAAATTTGCAAGAGATCAAAGTCTTGGTGCTAGAACTTTGATTTAATATAGTTGTATAACTGCAAGCATTGAGTAGGTGTGAAATTTTGTTTCAAGGACATTGCAATTATGCAATCTTCTGTCTGCAAGAACAATTAGTATTTTATTTATTTACTTTATATATTATTGTTGTGTTTATTTAATTATTTGAATTAAATAATAGTAGAACTGATTGTTGTTTGGCCAACACGTTTGGATCTAGGATTTGTTAGTTGTTTTTTTTTTTGTGTGCAAGGTCTTGGGTGGTTGACAATGGTGCTTTCTATCTCGATCTAAGCAATGGAGTCGACATCAGTGGGTTTAGCATCAATTGTTATGTTGGTTTGTTTTCTGCTGTTGAAGTAGCCACCATAAAACACCATTGTTGCCATGAATAGTTGTCGTTTTGGGCCACATACACAAGGATTTGGCTCCAATTCAGATTTTGGAATTAGAAAAATAGAAGTCTTTTATTTATTTTTTTGGGCTGGGCTGGGCCTAGCCCGGTCAAGATTTCAAATGTCGAGGCCGAAACCTGCCTATTGGGGTGAGCTTGACGGGCCTCCGAGCCCTCTCTCTCTCTCTCTCTCTCTCTCTCTCTCTTTTATATTTAAAATTTTAAAATTTGAGTCTTTTATAACTTCTGATTCAATTTTAGTACTTTCTTTACAACATAGGTCAAACCGTTCTTTTTGTTTTTGTTTTTGTTTTTTTGTAGCTTTGGCATAAAAGTGACAAATGGCATACAAGACCATGCAAACTGGCACTAAAGCGATTGGGATGACAGTTTACTTCACCCAAGCAGGTATGCTTGAAGATGGTGGTGGTGAACCTTCATCCTCTTGCTTCTTCAGTGTTGGCACCCCCTCCTCAAAGTGGCAAGAGTCATAACTTGGATCTTCATAAACAATGACCCCAGTATACCATTGAAATCGCAGGATTCCTCGGCTCTTCCATTAGTTTGAAAGTATTGATTTATAGCCACCAATATGTGTCTAAATAGTTTAATACAAGTTTGCTGATGTTGACTTATTAAAATCATCATATTAATCTAATGGTTTGCATTCTTTTATATGTTTGTAGATGCACCGATGCTAAATATAGGCTCAGGATTCTCTCTTAGGCTATTAAAAAACCCAAAAGTCATGTTTCATATACTTCCATTTTAAGGCTCTAAATCTTAAAGCTTCCACTAATATATAATAAACTTATTTATTGTAGTGCCCTATGAAACTTTGGTCAAATCTCACTTTATCCCCTGAAAGTACACAGGGTGCTCCTTGACCAAGGTTTGGTGGTTCACTTTTCCCCCCATTGTTAACTCTATTAAAAATTCTATTAAAATTGTTGACATAGCACAAATGAGACCTAATTTTTGCTGAAATGTGCACTACAAAAGTGCCATGTCGAAAAAAATAATATAATAAATTGTACTTTAGATGGGCCCACAAATTATATAGAAATAATACAATGAATTATTATACATATAATAGACGACGGTTTTATCAAAACAACCACGTCTTTACCCAAAAATGACACTTGATTTTTAAAAGACGACGCTTGTCATACCTACCGTCGTTGTTTTTTGGTCAGATTTTAACTCTAAAGAAAACCTTTTTAATAAGACGAAACTTTTTTATTTGTGTGCGTCGTTATAAAAAAATATTCAATAGTACCTCCGGTTTTTAGTTGTTTAAGTCACTTATCCACGACGGTTTTTTGTTACCGTCGTCTTTTTAAATACAACGACGGTTTTTTCTTCTACCGTCGTCTTTTTCTGGTCGTCTTTTTCATTTTTTGTAGTAGTGCCTTCTTCTTCAATCACACCTTTGGAAAACTCAAAGTAGTAGAGAGAATAGCAAAACCAACCATGAAACGTATGATAAGATCCATAGAAACCAGCAGGTGATCCAAAAACCCCTATAAATCAGAACAATTGTATATAAAGAAAGACAAGGAAGGAATTAGGGAGTCATAAATAGATTGAAAAAAATTGCACCAAGGATACATGTGATATCTTCTATGATTATATCAGTTGTAGGGCTCCACATTTATACCAAGCCATCTCCATCTCAGTTGAGCACCATTGGGAAATCCACCGCCTTGGATATGTGGTCGTGTCTTGGTCACGGCTGGAAGAGACCACTTGTGCCTTGGTCGGGTGTGTGGGAGCATATATTTCACTAGCCAATAAGAAGATGACACATGAGAAAGGAATGTTACTTAGGTCAAACAAATTACCCTAATTAATTCCTATTTAATTAGGAAAATTATCTTTGATTTAAGATAAGAATATCTCCCTAAATCAGGGAACCAATCTCCATCAAATCTCTTGGTGTAATTCCTATAATCTTTTTGGGGAAGAATAATCCTAACTATATAAGGATTATTCTCCCAAAACCCTAGCACACAAGGAGGCTATAAATACATAGCCACACAAGACATTTAAGGTAATCGTAAACCTAATTCTAAAACCCCATGAAAATCACTCTCTCTCTCTCTCTCTCTCTCCCCTCACATGACTAAGTGCCACCACACACGGCTTTGGTCATCCAGCTCTGCCCCCGAGAGAAAACTCCATCCATTTTAGCTATTGCGGTATATTTTCTCAAAGATCCAATTGAACTAACTTAGGCATTGGAGGGCCTTTAGCCAACACCCCCGGATGTGGTCTATTTACTCATATTTATTTTGCAGGGATTGAGGAAGAGAGCGAAGGAAGCTCGAAGGGTAAAGAATCTACAAGTGAATATTCTCCTGTGAGAAATTTGCACAAACAGTGTGTCGTGGATGAGTGGTTGTTTGGGTGGGGAAAGGGTGGGGGAGGGGTCTAGTTCTAGTACAAAAAAAAAGGGAGACTTTGGAATGTAAAATAAGAAAAAATAGACAAAATTACCCTTATTTATTTTTGGATTTCCTAATGAATCCTTTACATGTGCATGTCTTTGATTTGAAAGTTGATAGGTTTTTCTGTCTTTTTTTAAAAAGCTTTGGCTTTTTCCAAAAGTGAATTTTTTTTTTTGGCTAAAACCTAAATTTACTTTTAAAAAAATAAAGAGGGAGAGAGAAGAGAGAAGAGAGAAGAAAGTAATTTTGTAAATATATTTTTTCCTATTTTTTTTAAACTAGGTTTTTTTCACATATGACACTTATATGGCATACATTTCAGCAAAAGGGTGGGTCCCATTTGTGCTATGTCTATTTTTAACAGAATTTTTAAGTTACCAAAATTTATAATGGTGAGGGCAAAGTGAACCAACAAACCTTGGTCAAGAGGGCACTCTAGGTCATTTTAAGTTTCAGGGAGAAAAGTGAGATTTGACTAAAGTTTCAATGGGCACTACAATAAATAAGCCAATATAATATATGTAAATCTTAACTAGACTTTATTTTATATCCCGAATCCTAACCTTAATCCGACATGATGGAAATAGAGGTTCTTCACCCATATACAGCACCTTGACACTCTCTCTCTAGATGGGGTGAGAAACTATGCGAGTCTGTCTTTGCTTCAATGGAAGAGACCACTATATATATGCATTACTCGAATGCCTTGCCCATCAAGGAGCAGCCAAGTGTTCTATTTGCATTAGATTAGGTTGTTTTCAATCTATATAGAATTAGGAAGTCTCTTAGCTCTCATATTTTAATTAAAATAGCTTTGCACAAGAGATAATCCGATAACCTAGAGTTTTAGCTCTTGATCAAGTAAATTACTTGAGTCCTCATATGATTAAAAGACCACAATTCGTGGATTAAAACAATGAATCGTCTTATAGTATAATGCTACTTGATGTGTGCCAAAGCATAATATTTAAGCCGACCATACTTGGCATTAGCAACATAGTGAATATTGTAAGCCGACCATAGGCGGTCTTCAATTTTGTCTCTTATTCGAGGCATATTGGATGAACTTTTCAGCGTCAATATTGATGAGTAATTTTGATCAGCTTATGCATACTCTACATCTAAAACCCAAATCAATAAAAATAAATAAAAAATAAAAAATCAACACCAAAAAGAAATATTAATTTGGGAATATTAATTTGTATGTTCCATATGCCCCAACAGCCAACCCCATGGAAACTGCTAGCATGACTTGCACAGTAGTCCTCGTAACATTCAACGTTGAGACTAATTTACTCAGGCCAAGTTGATCTGCTTTATGAACTTTCTTAGGCAGAATAATAGAAAGAACACCTGCTTCAAATTTT